ATCCAGCACCTCAGCCTCCATGCTAGTTATTAGCCCAGGAGTTATTTTTTTTTTTTTTTGTTTTTCCTTTTTCTTTTTTTCCAGAGAGGTTTTGTTTTGTTTTGTTTTGTTTTGTGCTATAGGGCGCGTGCGCTCGCCAGACAGACAGAGAGAGACAGAGAGACAGAAAGCGAGAAATCACCCCCCAGGGGGGATGGTCACACCGCAATCCCTTCTCCTCCACTCTCCTCTCAGGATCTTGGGCACGCACGCACACGCACCCGGCGTGAGTTCAAGCCACCGGGTCTGGGACTCAAACCACGGTCGACTATGTGAGAGTCCAGCGACATAGCCATTATGCTAACTGCTGGTCCCCCCCAGCGTGAGTTTTAAGCCACCGGGTCTGGGACTCGAACCACGGTCAACTATGTGGGAGTCCAGCGACATAGCCATGACGCTAACTGCTGGTCCCAGGAGTTATTTCTTGATGTGGAGTCAAATGTTAAAGTTCTAGCAAATATGTGACATTCTCATACTAACTCCTTTTTCTGCAGCCCAGGAAGGAAACTGACTTGCCCAGCGTGTCTAGCTTACCCAGAACCAGCAGAAATCAGGGCTCAGAAGCAAGGCGTGGTGTTTTGCCCTCTGCCACGCCCCTTCTGGAGTTTCATTTCCTATGTATTTAGGATGGGAGTGAGGACCGAAGGGCAGGGAACGAGCTGGTCCCTTGGGATTCTAGCTGCTACTGCTGCCCATCTTCTCTGGTCCAGCTAATAAACAAGTCTAGTTCCCAGGCAGCTGGCCAGTCTGGGGAGCCGACCCCTCAGCCCCTCAAAGCCCCACCTCCTAAGGAGCCTTGGTCTTCATACTCCTCTTGCTGCCTCTGTGGCCTCTAGCCCCTAAGAAGAGGGTTTTTTATTTTTTATTTTTATTTTTGAATGGGGGTGCACTCACCGAATAGAGAGAGAGAGAGAGAAATCAGCCCGAGGGGTATGACCATGCCACAATCTCTTCTCCATTCTCCTCTCAGGATTTTCGGCATATACACACACGTGCCAGTATGTTTTTCAAACTGCCAGATCCAGGACTCAAACCATGCAGTCAGTCATGTGGGATCCAGCTGCTTTAACCATTATGCCACCAGCTGGCTCCTGAGAAGAGATTTTTGCCTTCTCCCTTGCTGGTCCCCATGCCCTCCTACTTTCCTAGGAGAGAAAGAGGGAGGGGAGAGGGATGAGGCAGAGTAACCTTGGCAAGATAAAGCAGTCAACCTTGGGAGGGTAGGGAGTCCAGAAACAGGGCTGAGGAGGGAGGATTGGGGAACCAAGCAGCTGGGGTGGCGGGGGTGGGGAAGGTGAGTTTGCAGAGCCTCAGACTCCCAGGTACAACCTAGACAAACAGGTGGTAGAGGAGGAACTAGACAGCTGCAGAGAGGACTTCTTTCCTGCGTGTAAATCCTGGGGTGGGGGTGGGGGGCAGAAAATATTTGAGGAAACTAATTAGGTGTCATGAAATAGCATATGCACAGGGGTCTGGGCTTAAATGAGAATCTTCTTAGATGACTCCTTCGTTCATCCAAAAGCAGGTATCGAATGGTGTTCATTGCATTCTAATATAATGCATGTATTATTCATCTATAACATAAACTTCATAATAGGCAAATTTTTGTAATAGAAATTGGGGGAAAGTATGGATTTAAGTGCCTAAAAATCTGCCAGAGGGGGGTTGGCAGGTGGCATGGTGGACTGGGCACTGGACTCCCACATAGCCGACTGCAGTTCGAGTCCAGGACCTGGCGGCTTGCTTTCTCACTTTCCCTCTTTCTCTCTTATTCTGTCTCTCTCTAGTAAAAAATCAAAATAAATAAATAAAGTTCAAGTAATTCTTTTTAAAAAAAAATCTGCCAGAGGAGACAAAGGAAAACAAGGTAGCCTTAGCTCCCAAGGAACATCTAATGTTGTTTACTGACCTTGTACACCCGTGCTGGAAGCTGCCTCGAATTAATACTCAGAGGTCACTGGGCCATTGGGGACCAGCTCGGGCCACCCTACTCTTCGCCCATTCCCTACTCCATGTGTCTAGGCTGGAAAGGGTTGGGGCCGGTGCTGGGCAGGTCCGAGGCATGATGGGAGGAAGAAGGTCTGGACTGTACACTCGTGCACTGAGGAGCGATGTCTGCTTCCTGAGCTACTCGGGTAGACCTGGTGACACCCTGAGCAGGCATGTATGGTAGGAGACCTTGAGCTGAGCTTACACATGTTCCTGCAACCACTTCTTCTAAGCCTCACTCCTCAGTGCTTGGGAATTCTCCCTTAAGATCTAAATTCCTCTCGCTGCTATTTAAGACCAATACATCTCATTGTGTGGGGCCAGGACATGCCTGGGCAGCCTGTACTTGTGTAGAAAATGGGGACAGAGGGGCGGAGGTGCGCTAAAGCAAAACAGAAATGTAGGCCACCTTGACCTTGGCACCGTTTACCACCGTCTTCCTCTCCATTTTCTGTCTCCTAGGGCCCGCTTTCCTCACCCAGCATCTTCTTCTTCTTCTTTTTTTTTTCTTCCCTCTGCTGAAGGCTTTTTGAGGGGTCTCAAGTTACCCTCTCTGAGGGCTCTGCCAACTCACTCCCCCAAGACAGGGATCCTGGCTGTGAGTTCAAACAGGAGCATGCCACCAAAGGCAGCAGCCCCCCAGGTGTGAGCGCCTAGGTGACTTAACCTCGGGGGGTCTGGGTTATGGAAACCAAATGGGAGCTCTGTCCTCAGATGGAATGAAGGCCAAGAAAGAGATTCCTGAAAGTGTGTAGAACGTCCCATGACGTTTTGACCCATCAACCCGGCATTAGAACATGCCCCCTCCCCTTTGCCCAATCAGTCATGTCACGCCAGGGCACAGAGCCTGGCTTGCTGCCATCCTGCTCTGGGAAGGCTACAGACCTGGGAGCGGGAGAAGGGTCAGTGTCATCCACTTCTCACGGTGCCTCAGAGACTCGGTCCGTTTCTTCCCCCTGCTCTCCAGTTCAGGGAAAGCAAAGAGAGCAGGGCGGAGGGTCCCGAGTCAGAGACCAAAGCCCGATCCTCCCATTTCACAGAAGGAGAAGCAGGCCAGCCAGAGGGTGTGACTTCCCTCAGAGGCTCCATTCTCTCATTTTAACAGCTCACTGCTTTCTCCATCCCTGGGATCACCCTGGCCTTGCACCAGCGTTGTTCAACTGATAGATATCCAGCTTGGGGGCCACGAAGACCGAGCCTTGCCTGAAACTGCCTCCTTTCCTTGGGTGTCTCTCTAAGACACCTGTGTTTCTCTTCTTAGACAGACACCTCGATCTTCCTTCTGCTAATTCCTTCCTTGTCTCCATTTTGGGTGAGCCTGTTGAATCTCAACCTTGGTCTACCTGGTGCCAGCTGGCCTTGACCCTGAGTCCAATTCCTATAAGGATTTATTAAGGAAGATGTGTGCGGAAGGCTAGGACCAAATCCCTGCTCAACAGCAAGGTTCAGTCCAGAATCTAGTTAAGAGGGACAGAGACACGGAAGGGTAAGATAGCCAGACAGCACCAGCTCCAGTTCAGGTGGGGGTAGGGTGGAGAGGCATGTCACAAGTCCAGCCTGTGGGATGAGTAAGGTAGTCTCCGTCCCCTCCAACCCAAGCCCTCTTTGGAGTTACACTCCTGATCTGTTCTTCTCTGCTCCCCCAGGGCGGTGGGCAGCCCCCTGGTCATGGATCCTACCAGCATCTGCAGGAAGGCAAGGCGGCTGGCGGGGCGGCAGGCCGAGTTGTGCCAGGCTGAGCCGGAAGTGGTGGCAGAGCTAGCCCGGGGTGCCCGACTTGGGGTGCGAGAGTGCCAGTTCCAGTTCCGCTTCCGCCGCTGGAACTGCTCCAGTCACAGCAAGGCCTTTGGGCGCATCCTGCAGCAAGGTCAGTGTGGGCAGGGGACCTGGGGGGC